GGTGGGTGTTGAAAGAAATCTGAACGCGCCCTGCCGAGACGGACTTGGGGGCACTGGGGGATGAAAAGCTGGACATGAGCCAGCAGCAGCGTGTGCTCGCAGCCCAGATGGCCAACCGTGTCCTGGGCTGCATCCAAAGCAGCGTGGTCAGCAGGGCAAGGGAGGGGATTCGGCCCCTCTGCTCCGCTCTGGGGAGACCCCCCTGCAGTGCTGCGTCCAGCTTTGGAGCTCTCAGCACAGGAGAGACATGGACCTGTTGGAGCGGGGCCAGAGGAGGCCACCAAAATGATCCGAGGGATTCTGCTGTGAGAGTTGGGGCTGTTCAGCCTGGAGAAGGCTCAAGGAAGACCTTCTTGCAGCCTTTCAATACTGAAAGGGGGCTTATAAGAAAGATGGGGACAGATTTTTAATGGCTTTAAAGAGGGCAGATTCAGACTAGACAGAAGGAAGAAATTTTTCACAATGAGGGTGGTGAAACCCTGTCCCAGGTTGCCCAGAGAGGTGGTAGATGCCCCGTCCCTGGCCACATCCCAGGTCAGGTTGGACAGGGCTCTGAGCAATCTGATCTAGTTGAAGATGTCCCTGCTCACAGCAGGGGGTTGGACTAGATGGCCTTGAAAGGTCCCTTCCAACCCAAACCATTCTGTATCTGCCTTGAGGCAGACAACTAGAATTAGAAATGCTGCATGCAAGATAAAGAATTCAAGATCAGTTCCTCCAGTGTATGAGCACTATTGCCAAAGCATGTACACAGCAGAGCAGAAGTAAAGAGGCTTTGCCTCAAAACAAAAGTTGTCATTTATGAGGCTTTCAACTTCTCTCCAATGGGCTTGCCGTAGTTACAAAGCTATCTCTACTTACAGGCAAAAAGCAGCATACTTGTGGCTCTGGCCGATGAGCCAGGAGAGCAGTGAAAAACCACCTAATTGACCTAATTGCATAGTGCTGGAGTTCATGCTCTGAGAAAAGGATAACAGTGGGTTGGAAAAGTAGCATCACTTTGAACTCCGTAAGCCAGCAAGGAAACACTAATCCTAATAAAAGATGTACTTCATTTTCACGCTACATGGCACAGAATAGTGTTTAAAATGTTTTCAGTCACAGTGGAAATTTTATCACTTTCCAAGGTCAAATCAAATTCATACTAACTCCAACTCCCATGAAGTCACCTTATCCCTAGAAGTACGTTTGGCTCTACAGTTATTCACGGGCACTGTCAGAAGAACCCCAAAAGGAGAAGGTAGGAGCATGTAAAATGTTGACACTACTCATTATCAAGGCTTGTCACAGTAACAGTGCTGCATGTGCTCAGTGCAGCTGAAAATCTGCTCTTCATTTCAGTAAGCCTTTCATTATTCAGAGTAGCACTGCAATGTATAGCACTGCTTTAGTAAACGTATGTCACTGCTTCCATCGTGAATTCCTCCCCCCTTTCCACACATTTAGTATTAATGTTTACTCTGAATAGAATTTTTGATTCAGAAGGAATAATCTGTGGGTTTTTTATTACCTTTTATTACTGGAAAATGTTCTGCTTCCTTTAAGCTGAAATTTCAGCTTCCCTATGGTTGTCAAGTAGTATTTTTTGCTAGCTGTTAACAAGAGAGTAAGAAACATAACTTATATCTGCTCGATAATGCTAATTACATGCTAGCACACAGATAGATCTAAACAAAAAAAAGGGACGATGACATTTCATTCCAATGTTATGATCGAGGTGATTTTGGAGTACCCTTCATAAGCCTCTAAAAAGAACACATAACTACTCTCTTTAACATCTCTGTAATTATTAGTTTAGATTTAGGAGACCAGGAACACAAGTAATTCCAGAGAATGCAAGGATAAATGTTTTACAGCAGTAACTTTACTTTCCTCCTGCAGATGCACTTAAAAATATAAATAATCAATAAAACATCAAGAGATTTCCTTTAGAAATGCATATCCCTTTAGATAGTACAGTCACTCTTGTAATATTACTAAAAGCATTTGGGTCCCATATGATCTTCACTTTGTTAACCCTTTGGGACTGGGAAGGCATTTCAAGTTATACAGTGAACAGAAAACAAAGAAATACCTCACTATTCCTACAGCAACGCTTCTAACATCACCTGTCTTTAAGCTAATGAAATGTCATCTCCGATGTAACTAAACCAGTACTAGATGAATTTAGATGGTCCTTCCTCAAAAATTATCTTGCTTCCACCTGTAAACCACTACTGCAACCCTCTTATAATGACATTATCGTATTCTCAGGATGGTTATGCTTCGAGAGAAAAACTGCTAGCCCCCTCAATTACATTTGGCTCCCAATTTTACTCCAACACCTTTCTTTCCTCCTTACCAACAGCAGCTTCCCCAAAGTAACTCACACTTCATTTCCATACTCACACCTCAAGCATTTTCTCCAGGTGTGGTTTCTTAACTAGCTAATAGTCCTTAAGAAGTGAAAGGAAGCCTGGCTCCACCTCCTCCTGCCCTCAGCAGCACAGCCCTAGCTCTTCCTTTCCTCTAGTGAATACTGGGCTCATTGCAAAGCTGATTTAACTTCTAGTGAAAAGCTATAACCTTGTTTGGGGCTCATGGTTTGTTTTTCTACAAAGACAGTAATTTGAATAGTCTTCAATTTGCTCTGAACATACTGAGCTCAGTAAGCACTCCAGCCTATGTAAGGTGAGCAGTGGAAGCGCACTGCGACGATCAAAACCTTGCTTTTTCAAAGGTAGTGGGATGCCAGCATGTTGTCTCATGGAACTGCAGCCTCGAGCTCAAAGAGATTTTTTATCTCTACACTTGGACAAAAACACTTGTTTCTATGCTCTGGTTTTGACTTCTGTAAAGATAAGCAGGTGGTCTCCCCTGCCTTCTTAACTGTCATCGAGAACAGAATGGTATCCCCAATAGCGAGGCTGTTAAAGACATCCCACTCAAAATAAGGATTACAGTTCTGGCAAAAAGGGACCACTGGTCCCCACACTACTTTGGGAAAGTCAAGGACTTACCTGGGTAATACAAATATGCTCTGTAAAACATTTTACACCTGCCTTGGGAATCACGGTGCCTTCATATGCTCTGCTGCTCCCATTACCAATTGTTTGGTTCTTGTCATTAAGGATGAGCTGTGGGCATTCATTCCCCCTACTTCACACCCCAACTTCCCCAGCTCTGCTTCCCTGTGGCAGAATCTCTGCATTCTACTGTCCTCCCCACGCCTTGCCCATCTCTGTTTTTCACTGTGTCAGCTATTCCCAGTGCAAAGGAGTGATACAAGCTTGGAGCATGTCAATTGCTACCTTCCAGGAGCAATTTTTCCAAACATCTGCTGACAATGATGAAAGTTTAGTTTGCTACCTCTTCCAAAAGCAGAGACTGTGTTCTCTCTTCTCTCTGCATTCTTCCCTTTTGACTTTTACAGCGGTTTCTCGGTACTGCCTACAGCATTTCCTGACATTTTGGAATTACCCAGATGCTGCATTATTTTCAATCCCAGAAATGCCATCCAATTGAGTATAAGATCTTGCAGGCCTAGCCCCTCAGCTTTTAAAATGCTGCTTTGGTTTATCTTCTTCCCTCTCTTCACATATTCGTTGACTCACTCTAGCCTTAAATATGCCCTCAAACGCCATCCAAAAAGTGAAGTTGATATCTGTGTTCAGCACCTGTAAAACTACTTTTAAACCTGACAAGTAGCAGAAAGCAGCAGTCTCCAGTTCACAAGTATTCTACAAATGCACAGGAAAACTTTACCAGGAACAATCTCTCCTAACAGCCAGGCTCAAATTTTAGGAAAGGGTTAAAAGAATTTACATCATATAACTGCTCATCTGAAAACTAGTCTGATACCAAGACTACAGAACAACTAGCCTTATATAACCCATTTTAATATTGTAGCTGGATAGGAAATGGGAACATTCCAGTCTGGTCAGCAGGTTCCCTACAGACCTTGTTAATTAACAAAGGGAAACTAGGTATGTTAAGGTATAGTTTCTGCAAGATTTCAGGGAAGGACAAAAGTAAATTTCAGGAGCCTGGAAATATACTGGTTATCTCTTTAGGTACACTACAGGACTCCGCCCTTGAAATACTATTTGCTCAATTACAGTAACTGCTACCATTTCTCTTCAGCAGTTCACCCTGTAGCCCCTCTGCAACAGCATCTGGCTATTTGTCATCCTCTGATAACTAATGCAAGTCACTGTTCTCCATAATCCCCTGCCCTTTACAAACACATATGACAACTACACCCTCACCAATACAACTCGTCTTTCTGCATGTTAGTGCTGGATTTGAGAGGACAGGCTTATACACACAGAACTCAAGTTCTTTGATGTTTCTTCAACAAGTAACAGAGAACTATTCTTATTTGACAAGTCAACCCAAGTATGAAATAAAGGGATTTGCTGTAGTCAATTCTCAGACTGTAATGTGATATGTACTGTTCAGTCCTGTGTGTAGCTCACTAGGTTGACTGTAAAGGCTCCTTGGAGAACTGCTGTATTGATTTTTCAAACCCAAAACTACACTAAGATACCAAAGAACAGAAAACTCAAATCACTAAAGAATCCTTAAGTTCCAAATTATCTCCTACTTTCATCCTGCCATTGCCTTGTCCAAATGTTTTAGGAATTGTAGTTTACAACAGAAAAAGTACAAAAGGGGAGTGTGCTCAGCAGCAGTTACATAGACCTGAACTTGCTCACAGAAGGCAATAATTGGGACAGAAAGTTTAAGGATTACGCACCGCTTCCCCCCAGCTCACAATGTTGACTGTTTTGTCATGCAGATGTTGCCTGGTAATAAAGCATAAAGGCAAAGACAGCTAGAGGCTACTTCCAGTCCCCCCACAGCATCTCCACCTTTGCCAGGCTATTAATGAACAGTTGCCAGGAAACAGTGACATAAACGGCTAAGGCATCACTGCTTTTAATTAACCATGTATCATGGGGCCACAGGGGGATGGACAGTGTTTGAAACACTGAAAAGTAGGTAAATGTTTGCCTGGAATTACACAGGACTGACCGGTTTGGACCAGGTACTTTAGAAGGTTTCTTTCCTGCCCACAGAAGCAAAGTGGTTGAAGTGGTATCTAGCAAAGTCATAAAATTGAGAGATATGCACAGGATATCATAAGTAGTATTATTTGACAACAGCATTCTCCCCAGAACTCTTTTGCTTCTGCTTTGGCTGTACTTAGTAAATAGAAGCTTATATGAAGGACTCAAATAAAAAAAAAAAATAAAAAAAAAAAACCAAACAACTTTACCCGAACTAGTATTTCCAGTTAGAAACAATGGGGCTGGGGGACAGAAAATTCTTCCAGACACCAGACACGGAGAGCCAAGAGTTATAATTAAAATATGACTTACTATACGTTAGGGTTGTCCCAGCAACACAAACAACCATAATGTTATGAGGAGTAGAATTACAAAGCAGCACTAAAATTTTACAATGACAGCCTTTCTTCCATAGCACTGCTTCAATTTCAGTTAACATTACTTTCACTGCAATGGACTACGGCTGATAGATTGTATCCTCAGGTAACAGAGGATAGCACATCACTGCTTCCTTTCTTTTGGAGGCATCTAGTTTCATGCAGCTCAGAACTTTAAGTCTGCAATGATCCTTTTCAATAAAAAGGGGGCTTCAACTCAACCAAAATACAGACTTCTCTAAATTGCTTTCCTTTTCACTCCTGTCTGTCTACAGCACATGAACTAGAAGACATTGTTTCCTGGCCCTTGAACTGCAGAGGTATCTGCTGTGCACCAGGGCTTACTGCTGGATATACATAGCATTGTGTATGTATGTATGTATTCTCATGTGAAGTGCAGGTATTCCTTGGCATTCTTGACCCAACCCGGCAGGGCTTGGCTACGCAGCACTTTCCAGGCTTCTTGATAATTTAACGCAGCTTCCTTGTAGTCCCAGTAGGTTTCTAAAGTCTTCATCCTGACAGAAAATGCACAACGACAAAAACATTTCTATTATCCTATTGGATGTAACATTACAAAATGAAAAACTCAATCAAACATCTGAGAACATGATGACGCCCTATGAGCTCTTTCATGCTACTAAGTGAAATTCTCTTGTGCTTCTAGGGAGACCTGGAGAGGCCCAGGCCCTGAAGCCAGGGTATCTAGGACATTGTTAGCAGTCTTACAAAAGCAAAACAGCTGCTCTACCATGCTTCATACACACCCTCCAGCAATAGAAGTGTCAGTGTTTGACTGTGTGACAATAGGTTACAGAAAACTTCCGTGACAGAAAAAGATGTTGAAGCAAAGCAGAAAAGGTGTCTAAGAAATAGGTGCTTTGAATTGGGTAGAAGTAGCCTTGTTTTGCTAGAAGAATGGATAAAATTGCTGGCTGGAAGGGAAGGGGACAAGGACGAACAGGACAGTTTTTCTTTCCCAATACAAAATAATGGGAAGAGTGAGACAAAGTAGAAAATATTTTTTTATCTTCTCCCTCAAGCAAAAGAGACTCAGCAGTTTTGGTGCTCTGTTCCACTTCCTCATGTAGCACCTGGTCCCCACAATCTCAGCAGAACCATTGGTCACTCTGCTAAGTGCATTATACCATTGATTTTCAAAATAGGGAAATTTAGGTCTAGAGTATCTGAACACAACTGCCTCTAATACAGTTTCGTCAAGACTTTTTTCCCTTCCTTGCATTCCTTTCCCAGCCTCTTTCATCTCCCTTTGCCAAACAGCCTGTCAGCCACATGTGGCACATAATATTTTTACATTCAACCCAATATGAAGGGAAGATCACAGACAACATGACCTTCATCAAGGAAGAGGAAAAGCCAAACTACTACAGGAACCCTAATCTAAAAAGTCTGAAAACTACTGCACTAACTTCCAGAACAGGCTTTTGTGCTCAAAGGCAGCATTGATCATCATCAGCACCCCAAAAAAAAAAACCCAAGACTCCCAAGAAAGACCATCAGAAGTTGTATTTCAGGCATTCAGCATTCTGCTATAAATGTATTTCTAAATCACTGTGACATGCATAGCAAGCCATGAGATATTATCTACCCTGCAGACCTTAGGTTCAGAAAGTGCAAGAGTGGAGAACCAGTCTATGCCATTGCTGAACAGCAATGGGAGATGTACACTCCTTACAAACCTGCCTGCACTCTTGTCATAGCTAACCCATTTTGCTTTCTTCACCTCTTTCACATTAATCAAACTCTGTGAAACTAACCTCTGAGCTGCTCTGGAAAGTTCAATGGAAGGGCCCACTGCAACTCTCCTCCACCTGGCCAGTGGAACAGTCACAGAACCCCATTATCCATGGTGGATCGTGGTTTAGGAGCACCACTGAACAGGCAGAAGACCAGCAACTATCTGCATAAGCAGCATTCAGGAAACAACACTGGTCCAAGAAAGGCCATGGTCAACCCACCACAAGCAGCTCCAAATCTCTAGCACAGGCAAGCTGTTCCTCTCCCAGGGAATCCAACATGCACCTCAGACATGGGACAAACCACCCGCATCTCCTCCTCCACCTCAAAACCCTTCTCTGGGGAGCAATATGCATGCTTACACTCAAGGATAATGACCGAATCATTCTTTGGGAAGAAACTTGCTTATGCTAGCACACTTCTTGCACTTAAAAGTACGTCTGACGTACTTGTTTAAAACTTTGACCCTGCTCTTCTTCACTATATCTAATGACTTATATTTATCCTTTATCACAGAATAGCCAATATCAGATGCTGTTTACGTCTTCGTAACACAGTTACTTGTACTTATGAGGTAACATTTAGGATGGTCAAAGATCAAAAAAGAATTATACAACACACATTTTTGGAGTGGCTCAATCTTGTTAAAGGTGAACCAGCTGCTTGCCTTACAATTGCTGCGGATGCACATATATAGATATAGATCAATCAATAGATAGATAGATAGATAGATTCCACCTGCCACTAAGCCAACAGAAAGACTCCAATGCCTAGCTGTTCGTCATTTCTTCCTTGCTAAATGTTGCTCTTTTTCCTGAATCTGCTGGCAAATCAATAGCTTTTCAACTCATATCCAGCAGTCTCATTTACTTTAACTAAAACACATATGGGATTTTCCTAACCTAGATTATTCCAAGAGACCTTCGTTTGGAAACTGTTACAGTAGACAGTAAGGGAAAACACAGCTAGCACAGAAGCAGGATAGACGGCAATGAGCAGCTCAGTGTTTTCACACCACTGCAGCTGCTACAAGAACACATGTGAGCGCAGGCACTTGGGGTCTCATTCTCCAAGCAGACATCACCACTACAGGATATAACAGTGGATGCAACAGAAAGCTGCATTTTAAACAGCTTCCTCAAAGAGCTTCCAAAATCAAACATTTATTTAATTCATGCTCAATTTCTGCATTAAGCTTCTAGGAAATTTTCAACACATATATGGGAAAAATGCTTTCAAATTCAAAGTACATTACATCTGCCTAAAAACCTCACATGATTTGACTGTATCTCAGGTTTGGTCGGGCCATTAAGGCTCTGAGCATTACTAATGAAGAACCTACGACTTTTTTTGGCAGAAGTGAACACGAGTTTGCTGCCCCAGGCAAAGTCCAGTACAATCATATGATCTCCAGCCTATCCAGGTCTGCCTGACTACATTCCTTTTATGATTCCCTTTACTATTGCAATCTTGCCCCTACACTACTGTGTAGGAGAGAGACAGAGTGATTCTGATGACTGTGTGCCAGAGACGTGAGAAGTGATCCACAGATTTCATTCTGAAAGGTATTCACACTCTTGGAAAAAGCCTTACGCAAATCACCATTATGCTTGAAAACATTTATGTGCTCAGCCACATGCAAAGCTGAGCAGAAATGGGCTCACAAGCAAGGCCACCCGCAACGAAAAGCAACACACTGCTGCAATACTTCCTTCTCAGCAAAAAACCCTACCTATAATCCCATATTGTTTAAAATATTTACATTCAACCCACAACACACTTTTGAGATTACAGACATACTGCACACCAAAAATGTTGACATAAGCACAAGGCATCAACCAAAACATTGCTCTTATACAAAAATCAATGAATGGCATCTAAGAGGGCAAAATCTCACAGATACTCAATATATAAAAATCTGTTGTGAATCCATAATGATAGGGGGCCAGGAAACCATACTGTTTCTATTCGTATCTTCTTTAATGCTTCAGATAAAATGCAGTCATTGCAGGCAAACTTTGTAATTGACACCAACTGTTAAGAAGATACAGAACAAAGTCACAGAGTGAGCTAACTCAATGAGCGAGTTCCACTCAAATAGAAGAAGTTTTAAGAGTAACCTAAGGTTTTAGGCATTTGGAAAATTGTTACTGCATTGTTGTGTCTAGCTTGGGAGACCAGATTCTCAAAACAGTATTGAAAAACTGAAAAATAAGCTTTGTGGCTTTTTCCAATATCACCCGAGATGTGGAAAAAAATGAGTCACAGAGGAAAAGATATAGAAGCTCAATAGAGTAATTAAAAAAATAAAATCAAGTCTTGAGATAATTATGATTGGTAAGTATTTTCATGGGGCAGAAAATACTACTTAATAAAAGGCTCTTCAGTCTGGCAAAGACCTAACAAGCATCTATGACATGCAGTATAGAAAAGATTTGCTTAGATCAGAAGACCTAACTGTCCCCCAGGCCTTCATGCAGTGGTAGGACCACCACAGGAATTGTTTAACATGCAAACTTTAAAAACAAAATTGAAAAAGGACTAGAAAATTGCAACGGAATTTTTGCCAAATGTGTTGGGGTTTTTTTAATTGGAGAACAGCAGTAACAGTGAAACAGCACCCTTCCATGACTTACTTTCATTAGGCTCACACTTCCTTACAATCATCCTCAGTCACTCCAGCAGAAAATATTTAGCAGTCACCTGGCAGAATTCTTTTGTTTTTCACAAATGAACACGAGCAAAAAATCTTAAACGTGAAGCCCAAGCAAAGGCTCTATACTTCAGTCTAGATATTTAAATCTTAAAGCCACCTGAAAGTCCTTGCACTCCTCTGTACAACAGCCCACCCTCTCCAATTAGGCATCACTGGAACTGGAATCGTCCATACTGCAGACTGAATGGGAAAGAGGAAGGAAAGCACAATCTTAATTGTGACAGCTCCTGACTACAATTTAAGAGAAAGGAGGATCAGGCCTCCATTTAACAAGCCCAGCAAGAAACTCAAAGCAGATTTATGTTACAAAGTCTCCCTTAGATTCAGACAAAGGGTTGCACAGCCAGCCACACCTTGCACAAACAGCAATGCCTGGTGACTCTGCATGGTGGATGCCACTGTATGACAAAAGGTGGCTTTCACTTCCTCAGGTGATGAACAAACCATGTTTTTTTTCCTACCAGCAGGGAAAAAAAAACAACAATGCAATAAACCTCCTTTGCCATATTACCACCAAGTGACCTGCAAACAAGAATAGTACTGCAGAGGTTTTTACCTCTGTTACTGTCTGTAACAATTCAGATTAGGAATGGCACAACACTGCCCAGTGGTGCGTCATCATTCCTTTAACAGTGAGCACGGAAAACATGAAAAGATAAAAAGGTAGATTTATGTACCAGTAATTTCAAAACATTAACACAAAACAACATGTAGGAGGGAGTCAACAGAAGAGAATGAAGTATGGCACGTGGAGGTTATAAAGAAACAAATAACATTTCAGGTAGTCTAGCTAGAGAGATGAGTGAGAATTTAAAGTAAGGCACAGAAGACAGATCATAGAAATTATCAGAAAAGAAGAAAGTGGGACAGCACAATACAGCACTATGTAGTTTCTTGGTGAAGAAGTAGCTAATGCTAGCTGAACACCACCTCCTCCTCAGTCTCAGCTGAAAGCAAATAAACTAAATCCTGAAAAAAAACAACTGCTGAGTGTTATGCTTAGCATCTTAGCTAAGCTACACCACTACAAATTTCTAAGCTTGCCTTTTAGGAAAGCCAGCAAAGTTCTGCCCCTGGTAGGCTCTCTACCTGTTCCAATTTAACAGTGCCCGCACTGATCTTCTGGAAAGGAGTGAAGAATGAAAGAGAAAGGAAGGCACAAAAAGCAGGAGAAGCAGCTTTTAGACACAGGAAAGAAGACAACAGAAGAACATCACAATCAATATACTAGTTCCATGTAAAGCTTTAACTGCCCCAGTATCCTAGGTCTGACAGTGGACAACAGTAGATGAAAGAAGGGTTAAGTAAAGAATGATCCTTGTCCTAATATACCCTACAACCACCAAGACAAGCTGTTCAGCAAATTTGAAAAGACTGCAAATTTGAAAAGACTACAAAATGAGAATGCCTTGATGGAGCAGAAAAGGAAGGGAGGTAAAAGACCAAAAAGTGGACTAGAAGAGGCAAGGCAGGAACTTAGGGGCAAAATGGGAAAAGGAAACTGGGTGACAGCACAGCACTAGAGTCAACTATTTGTGGGAGGAGATAACAAGATACATTTGAATGGGAAGAAAATACAAAACTGAATAACAGTTAAATACACAGGAGTTTAGAGGAAACAATTTGGGAGTGTGGGATTTCTTATCTGAAGTCCATTCAAATTCAGACTACAAGGAGGAAAGGAAGAAAAAGGAACAAAACACATCCAAATAGTGTGTAGAAAGGAAAAGGGAAGAAGAAGGAAACACCAATACAAAAACATGTTTTTATTTTGCTTTTTAAGTGAGGACTAGGAAAAACAAAGCCTTCAAAAGAAAAGCAACTCGACAAGCTGACTGGCCAGCTAGCACGTCTACTGCATAAACAGAGTTCGCGCAGCCTAAAAATGATGCCACATCTGCGAATCAGCTGGACTTGGGTCAGAAGCCCAGACAGAAAAATAGTAGAGGACAAAAAAGTCAAAGGAAATTACAAAGTCACTGGAGTCTGGAAAAGCCCTGAGGTGAAGTGACTTTATGAAAGCAGCACATGATCAGCACAGTGAGTCACCTACCCAAAAATGCACCAGCTCGCGTTCTGTTCTGAGGAAATTATCATGGCTAAACAAGTGAGGACAAACTCACACCCAAAAGAGGCTAATAATTTTACATTTAAAACTGAATTAAGGAGAAAGTGTATCTCTACTTATATAATCCATTGAAACCATTTCAGCAATAGCATGGCTCGTGTTGACATCAGAACTTTAGAATAGTTATGAGACACTTCTACAGACAGAGAAGGTAACTGCAATCTTTAATTCACAAAACTCAAAGGCAAGCCAGATCTAACAACTAAAGATACAGGGTGCGCTTACTTTGGCTAAGTTCATGTCATCTAATGTCTTGGTACCATGAAAGGCAGAAATGGCCTCTCCTCCCTGCTTCTGGCCACATACACTGCCTACTTCTTTTGCACAGGTTTTGTTATGTTTTAGCTTTCCATGATCCAATTCAGCTCATTAGTCCAACAGAAAACATAGAAAACAAGGAAATTGTTTGCTGCCACATTAGCTAGTTGAACTGGCTCACCATGAGGTTGGAGAAGTGCTACTGATAAAACGGAGAAAATAGGAAACTACAGCCAGCAGCAGCAGAGACTGCTGCAGGACCGTCCCCACCAGCAGCTAAAAGCAGCTAAATTAGCTAAACAGCTTGTATAATTGCATCCCAGAGCTGGTGAAATCATACCTGGAAATAAGTCTAAAATAAAACAAACCTTCCAAGGCAATGGATTTGGAACCTTCTGCATCTCTCAGAATCTCTAAGCCAAAGTGAGAGATAAGTTGCTGTATACACGAAACTATGCCCTGTTCTGCGGTAGCTATTTGGGCTGGAATACCACCAAGTACATAACGCGTAATGCAATGCCAGACCGGGTAATTCCCACAAAAATCTCCAGTCTGATAAACCAAACTTGTTTCTAATAATGTAAAAGAAACCTCCAAGTATGGCTTCCTCAGACAAAAGCTTCTGTTCTTTACACAAAGTCTTCATCTACATTATACATGCATTGCAGAAAGAGCCCTACACACTATCTCACCTTACTAGCTCTTACTCCATCATATATTTAGATGGAAAAGATTTTAGCCTAGACTTTTCTGAAAAACAATTAAAAATTGCGAGGTGGGCGTGGTGTTTCCCTTCCTCAACTCTTCCTTCTTGTGAAACAAAGAATTGGCATTTAACAGAATTACTGAACACCAACCAGGTATCAATAACCCCATGATAATTTGGGGATGAGGAGTTTGAACGCCACCAAGAGTACAATGCTGCAGGCAGCTGATCTAACAGCTCATGTTTTCAAAAACAGATAGTATTTCATCCTCTCATCTCCCTCTTCACTCCTTCTTCCCCAGCTGTCCACTGCCACTTTCACACAATACCACTTTAACTCATAAAAAAACCCAACTTGCTGTCTTGGCAGAAGACTACAAGTTGAAGAGGCTTACAGAGGTGTCCAACAGACACCAGATCTAGCGCAAGAGAAGAACAAGGCTCCACTGATGAGGAACAGAGTTTACCCTTTTGAAAAGTAGTAAGCCTTCAGAATAGATCAGCTGCCCCAAATTCTTACCTTAACTCCAAACAAACAAACAAACCACCTGCAATTTCTTCTGTCTGTCATTAATACAGGAAATGCAATAGACAGTTCTCAAAAGAGGTAATTAAAAAGGCCAAAAAGAGAGTCTTCCTAGTCTATCAAGCACATGCCATATTTTTCAAGAACTAAATTTTAAAAATGAACTTATCTAAAGTGAGATTCATGAGCACATTCTGGTATCACAGTATTCTCAAGTTTCATTAAGATTAATTCACTCTTCTAAATATAATGAAAATGTGTTTACCGGAGAGTATCTGGTAGATCCTCTTGTGATATACTTGTCACCAGCTTTTGGAATGTATGGAAGAGTTCCACTTTACAAATCTTGGATCTGATAACAAAAAAAAAAAAACAAACCACACACAGAAATCAGAAATTCTGATGAAAAACAAAAATCAGAAGTGCACTTCCTCTTACAGCTCACAGTAGTACATTCCAGGTGAATATTTTTAAATAAAAAAAATTGTGTTCACTTTTCGAAGAGTTTCTCCACAATTTAACTTTTCCTACCCCATCCAAGCTGCCCACCTGCCTTTTCCCATCTTTTTAAATGTTATAGTGACAAAGAGCTGCATTTCCCCCATTGTCCCAGCCAGCACTTTGTTAGTTTGCAGACAGAAGATTTTAATATCCCCACACTTTTATCTGTGTGAGACTGCACCATCATCAGCTCACAACTACAGCAAAGTTGAAAAACTGATCAAACAAGCACAGGAGGATTCTAAAGGCTTGTTCAAACTGGCAAACTTTGTTTTATTCAGAACAAATAAAAGAACCAACAGAAATAACTGGAACAATGCTGTCCTTTTCACAATGGTGACGAAGACACATTCAGTAACAGCTGCAGGACAGTTAAATACAAAGAGGCTCATCAAAAAATAAAGTGAGTCAAAGTTTGAAAGGTCTTTTGAAGACACCACATGCACCTCTGTCCTCTTTAAGCCCTTCTCTTTGCCCAAAGAGAAGGCAACCAGAAGAGCTGTTTATAAAGCTTTGGTTTGTTTTTGAAAGCCCAAGCTATTTTCTGTATTTAATTACATTCTCTTTATACACTTGTCTTCACAATGACTGATTCAGTTCTCCAGCATGTGCAAGTTGATTCTCTAGAAGCACTGGAAAAAAACACCAGTCAAAAAAACTTCCTATTTTGCTACTATGTTCTCTAAGAACCCCAACACTGGCATACAAAGATGCTCTAAAATTTCATCTTCATGTTAATCTGTCAAAGGTTCATACTGCAGTTTTTGGTGTTTTAGTAATTAAGCATTAACAAAAGCACATACCAGAGATCTAACCACAAATTCCTTTTAGTCAGTCAGCTTTACCTTCCTCAATACTTAGCATTATCTAGCGGGGGCAGGGGGGTAACCAAACAACACCCCCTCCAATCATCCTGAGATTCCTCCAGGGAAAAAAACAAGTCTTGTTTATTATTAAACACACCCCATCTGCCCAATAAGGCTATAAATTCCTTATTCTCATGATAAAAGTTCTTTCTGTGACCTTTTATCACAAAAATGTAAACAGTTTACTTATTCCTTGACATTGTTTTTAATCCTGATTTCCTAAGGAAATGAGACCTTTGCAATGAGAGTGTTGTAGGCCCTCTCTAATAACTTTTGAATGTTTTAGTGAATTTCAAGCACATGTAAAAAAGAGGGGAGGATCTCTCAACAATAATTAAGTTCCTACAGTTTTGTGCGAACCAGCAGCTAGCAGACGGCTCTGAAGTCTCAGAGTTGATACATAAATGCTATGTAACAAATTTAAGCCTACTGAAAAAAAAGGGTTGTTGCTTTGTTTGATCTTTCACGTGTCTTCTGGAATACATTACATGCCTGATATTGAAAACTAATATTCTACAGCGCACATAAAGCCTGTCTCAAAAGACACGATAAGTCACCCAGGTCATCATGCTAACAATACCCCAGATACCAATACTGGTCACAAACCACAAAGTTCCTGGTCATCTTCTTTCCAGGGAAAATTTGGAAATACTAGGATATACCAGGATAAACTTCAATTAAGTCAGGCCAAACTTCAAGAACCTCAGAATGTGCAACTCGCAGGCATGTGAATGAATTCTCCACAAAAATTGTCTAAGCTCTAACTATAATTTTATTCGCTACTGTCAGGATTATCTTCTTTCTCCCACAAAACCTGGGAAAAAAGAACAATATGACCATTGATAAATTGGTCATATAAGCAGCCAACAACCAAAACATGACCCCAACCCTCAAGCTGACCTTCCACAGACCAGTGAAAATTTTGGTCACTTAACCTAAACTGAGGAAAGTGTAGAGAGATGGAGATATTTGTCTGCAGATGTTTACAAGTAATTCCTCTCAACCACAAGAAAAATATGTAACTGTTTCTTTAAACATTAATAGTTGATAGAAGATTATGATGTTTCTTAAAAAGCACAGTGTCAAGATGACAACTGGAAAGGTGACATGTTTTGTGTTAGGAATCTGCTGCAAGCATTTCATAACGTTTTCAAACTTTAAGGCAGAAAAATCACATTTCAAAGCAACACTTTTAACAATCATACATCCAGGTCAGCTGGCCTGAGTCTTACAGAAAAAGAAATCTGTAAAAAGAGGACCTATAAACACACACATTTCCTCCACAGTCATCAACCCAAAAGATACAAAGCAATGATTCCACTAACTTCACCAACAAATGAGCTGTCTTTCAAAAAAATTGATCATAGCCACCCCCCCCGCCCCCATTACATACAATGGTCTCTCTAATCAACGGTGACAAAGAAGAAATAGGATAAACTTTATAAGCCTCATTCAGCTTTTGTCATTCCAATTCCCCTTCTCTCCCTTACACAGTGACTCTCCTCCACTCCCTACCTTTCTCCTTTTTCCCCACTCCCTGGATTTCTTTCTGCTCTGACAATGCACTACACATCCGATGAGCTGACAGAGGCATGTGTGCTAACAAACAAGATATATGCATCCAGGTATCACAATATTCTCACACCTGCTCTGATGGCTCCCAATCCGCTTCTTTGTTGTTCCCTGCCGGAAGCCATCTGAGGTGACATCCAGAGGTTGCTCAGGGACTGCGCTCCAACTGATAGCTGTAGAAGCAATGAACAAGGGAGATGCTCTCATCACAAAAGCAGAAGTTAACAGTTCCTTTCATTCTATGTGTTCAAACGATACCATGCTGCTTCCCAAAATAATTCAAACTAGAAAGAGGACCATGGTTCTCTAGGGTCAGGATTGCAGTACCTAAAAGAACAAATAAATTCTGTTTAATTTAAAAAAAAAAAAAAGTATGTACATACACACACAGAGCTTTCATTGTAACCAGGTCCTTCAAGAATCCATGCCAAATATTTGGCCTCCAGCTTTGTAATTCTCCCCTTTGTAGGGGGATCCTACCTTCTTTTGTGCACCCTGTCTGGACAAAGCATGAAGAAATTTTCAAGTCATATGGCTCATTTTCATATGAGGCTGTGAAATACTCCCCCAAGCTACCTGCACCAGTCACACTACGTTTTCCGTATTATTGTGTGCTATTATTTTACCGTGTATTGTATACTCTAAATACTTGTCTGTGTGTTTGATAACTGACATAAATCAAATATTTGTAGACTTAACATGAAAAATGTTATTAGCTAGCAGTCAAATAAAAATAATTTGTTGGAAGAAATAGCAAGTGCCAACAACCTTATCCTTTACCGCCACTCTGGTAACCTTATTACCATCTCAGACTGTAAACTTCTTAATGCTGAAATTCTGCATGCCGTACATTATAGATTTATAAATAACAAGCAAAGCATCAGTAGCATGTTAACAGAAACAAAACTGATTGACGTGTCCAATCTGTCCCTCCATAGCCTAACAACAGTTCCTTTAACTTCTACTGCCTTGAGACAATTTTTGTTCCTTAAGTTCTCCCATTTCTCTGTGTTTCTAACAAGCAAAACAGTTGCACATGCACTAACTCTAAAGAAAATTTTCACAGCTTCTCTCCTTCATGATACCATCCTGCCATTCAAAATGCTCAGAAAAACTACACATTATAAAGCATATTATAGAAACTGGTTATGTTAATCACACTTGTATTATGATTCAACTCTATGCTGCAACTACCATACTCTGCTAAGTGTAAACTGTACTTGCATTGTGATTTAGGTACAATGCTGTATCACTCTACTAAATTAAAATCCTGTGTAACATCAAGTAACATTAAATACATCTAACTGGTATTAAACATTAAACCCTCCACATGTGGAGTACCTAAAATCACCTGGTCAGAGGATATCAGATTCTGACAAGACAATAAAAATTTACTTAAAAATGAAAACATTTTCTGTTCTTTCATTTCTTCATAGTTATCGCAAACTTCAAAATATTAAACAGAACACATTTTTCTTTTTAAAAATACCAGCTGAAATGTTCCTATCAGGCGTATTTCAATACTCAGTGTAACAGCCCTGAATTTAGAGTTTATTCTGATTTTCACCCCTTCAAGAAAAAAATGAACCTGGCATAACCCATATATGCAAAAAAGTGTGATAAAGCGTCATTCATCTTTATTTAACAGAACTACCTGAGCAACTGTACAGAAAGGCAGGCATACACAGGAATTTAGTGACAGTTGGCTCAGATCTTTTTTGCTAAGTGAATTGGCACCATTTTTCAATGATGGGTTTTGTTTCCTATCTCACAGAATCAAAATATTTTCCTTCCTGGCACCTGTAAATAACTCCAATTTAATGATTCTGAATTCCATTAAGGAAGTCTTTGTTTCCATTCTATTTTATCATCAGCTCTATTGTAACAGAATAACTTCCAGTTCCAGTTAAGCCAGAAAAGTATACAACAGCAGAAGGGAGGCATGTCCAAGTTTAAAGAAACTGCTTAACCATACACATACAGTGGCAGTTCAATTGGTTTCTTTCCCCAAATGAGACCATGTTGCTAAATCACAACGTGACTTGCATATTCATTCATCACCGTGACAAAAAATGCAATGTCCAAAACCTCCATCAATTAAACCTTTACACTATACTACTCTGTATTCTTTCTACGTTCACAGATTTCTGGAGCAGTTACAAGTGTAACTCGGCATGGCAAGTCTTTTGTTCATTACCAAGGAGAATGCAAAACTAACTGAAACAAGAACTCTTTTGCTATTTTTGTTTTCCTATTGTCCTCAGAACTTCTGCTTTCACTGGTTATTCATTTCTGTCTTTGTTTAGATTACGAATTCTTAATGGCATCAACCAAGTGTTTATTCAGTCTGAAAACTCCCTACAGGGAACTAGAGGCTGAGCTGAATATTATTAATTATTAACAATTAAGTTCTGGCCTGAAATTCATTTCTTGCTATAAGTCACATTTTGCCTCTAGCACTGGCAATGAATGAAGTTCCATTTTAGGAAACCACCAAAACCACCTAATTTCTATCTGGACTTCTGCACGCAGTTATGCAATTAGCCCAAGTTAACTCACCTGCACTACAAGGAACAAGTTTTGTTTTGCTGTTGGTTTTAACTTCCTGAATTGCCTGACGGCTATGTTCAAATCGAAGATCCGATTGCAGCAGCTTAACCTCCTGAGCAAGAAAACCGTCTGGTAAAAATGCGATGTGCTGACACCTAAAGTAAACACAGGAAAATGCAAGTGATTTTAAGTCAAGCCAATTTTGTGCAATTTCCCTTCATAATCTAAAACATGCTACTTTTACATTACAACTGAATTGAGCATGAGTTATAGAAGAGGGACAAGGAGATTTGGGGGCATTTTTCCTTTCAAAAAGGCACTTGTTAAAAAACCACAGCCACATAGTTTAAGACAAGTTTAAGATCTTGTCTCCATCCTAGAAAAATTATGATTAATTTATTTTTAAAAAGGTTACAAGCTAGTATTATCAATAAAGTATGCAGGATAAAAACCACAATCACAATGAAGAGTAATAACAACACAGTATTTACATAGTCAACCATATTACATTAACAACCGTTTTATGAACCTAAAGATTCATAATCAAAAATATACTTACAGTTCCATGCATAATCTCACCCTTCTTACCTTAAACCACCATTACACACTGAATGGGATTAGGATTGTATGAGGAAGAAAATACAGCATGTTTAATCATCATCATAATAGTCACATAAAACAGGAATGAATTAAGACTGAAGTTCATACTGCCAGATGTAACAGTCTGAGAAAGTACCTGACTTTGCAACCTTAAGACTCATGAGGCCGGGCAAACTCTTGTCCCATGTGTTACAGAGTGAGGAAAGCATTATCCAGTAAGCTTCACTGGATAGGTAGCTAGAGTTTCCCCTGTCAATATACTATGACCTCTATTACAACCATCTTAGAAGGATCCAAGGCTATGGAGAAATGCAGTTACTAAAAAGTCAAACCTTTCAGATGAAGTGGTCTAGTAACTGCCTCTTAAAGGGAGTGAGTTCAGCTCCCTGTTTTCTTTCTTGCTCTCTTTTCCCTCCACTCTGCCCAGTTCCATTTACATTCCTCTAATGTTTGCAGATTCCTTTGTTGCAATGATTCAACCTCCTAAGAAAAATATCCACTTCCTATCCTTTTCTTGCTGGAATAGTTTTCATCAACTCAAGGATCTGAGGACCAATAAAGCCAGTGAACAGTGGATGACATTACTTATTTAGCAGCAGTGCACTTAACACCTCCTGTCACATCAGGGAAATTTATATGAGAGGTGATCAGAGCTCTACTACTCAGAGCAGAGAGAAAAATGAAATCTTGAATGTAATTCAGATCAAAGCAGCAGACAAATTTTTACCACCAGGGAAATGCACATGAGCTTTTCCTTTCCCATTTAACACAACTCTTAAGTCTTTTTCCAGCTGAGCAGTACAAGCTGTCACATGCTAGGTGTTCTGAACCACTTCAGTAAATCCCAGAATGGTTGAGGTGGGAAGGGATGTCCAGAGGTCATCTGGTCCAACCCCCCCCTGCTCAAGCTCAAGCAACTGCAGCCAGCTGCCCAGAACCTTGTCCAGACAACTTCTGAACATCTCCAAGGTGGGAGACTCCACAACCTCTCTGGGCAACCTGTGTCAGTGCTCTGTCACCCTTACAGCATTTCCCCATGTTCAGAGAGAACCCCGTATGTTTCTGTTTGTGCCCACTGTCTCTTGTCCTCTCACCGAGTACCACAAAAAACAGCCTGGCTCCATTTTCTTTGCACCTTCCCTTCAGGTATTTATAAACATTCAGTACCTCAGCCTTTTCCATGTCCTGCATAACCAGGTCATCTCATTCAGGAGTAAGCTCACATTTTCCCTAGCCTTCCTTTTGTCACCTATGTAAGGGAAGTCCTTCTTGTCTTTGACATCCCTTGCCAGATTCAAATCCGGTTGGGCTTTAGCTTTCCCAACCTCATCCCCACATTCAGAGTCACTGTCTCTCTATTCCTCCTAGGTTACCTGCACACTCTTCCACCTTCTATGTGCTTCCTTTTCATGTTTGAGTTTGGCCAGGAGCTCCTTGTTCATGCATGCAGGCCTCCTAACATTTTTGCCTGACTTCCTATTCTTCAGGATGGACAACTCTTGAGCTTGGAAGAGGTGATCCTTGAATGTTAGCCAGTTTTTAAGGGTTCCTCTTGCCTCCAGGGCCTCATCCCATATGACTCTCCAAGCAGATCTTTGAAGAGGCCAAAGTCTGCTCTCCTGAAGTCCATGGTTGTGAGTTTGCTTTTCACTCTGCTCCCTCCACTCAGAATCCTGAACTCCACCATCTCATGCTCACTACAACTAAGGCCTCCTTTGACCTTCACATCCCCAATGAGCCCCTCATTGCTGGCGAGTATGAGGTCCAGTAGAGTACCTCTCCTCGTTGGCTCCTCTATCTGCCATTTCAATAATTCCTAAAGGCAGATCAGGTTCAAAAATTCCACTTCTTTTTATATTGCAGAGCAGGAGGATGAGAAACAAGTATGCCAAAGCCAGAGTTGCAGAGCCACAAGTCTCATCCTTTACAGAAGCCGAGTCCTGGAATCTCATGGTAGAATTCTGAAATGCATCCCTGAGAATACATGAAGACTACAAAAGGTGAGCTTGCACTGCACATCCAAGTCAGTGTGAATATAAGTGGTAGAATAGACCAATGAGAGATATTAGCTTGCATGCAAGTGTGAAGTGCCCCAGAAGCATGAAGTTTTGCTCAAAAAGCAACAAACTGATGATTAACACTAACAGAAACAAGCGCTGACATGAAATGATGACTTTCCAATCTGGTTGCCAAACGGCACTCATCTTCTAAACCTAAATGAACGTACTCCACCACCCACAGCAATTTCTGTGCTAGCTCTACAACTGTTTCCATAGACTGTGCACCACACCTGAAGGCACATGATACAGTCAAAACTTCAAAACAGCAGTTTTCAAAAACTTACACTGAGAACAGATTGATAATACAATTTTGAAATTTTACACAGGATGGACTTGTACACATATGCAATAACCCAACTTTAACCTTCTGGAAAATCTATGTTTGGATCCAAATTTAGGAAGACAGCAAAAAGTAAACTGTTTTTGTTTGGAAACTTCCTGGAAAGTAAGTCTGAAAAAGCAGGGTCTAAAATCAGCGAAAGGTTCAGAAGACCTAAGAAGTTCATTTAAGGTTAAGTTCTAAAAAGGTCTGTAAGGACAACCAGAAGGACACCCTTTCCACAGTGCAAAAGTCTACCTATGCATTCATTTGGAGTAATTTCAGTCAGATTGCCTTTAGGATGGACAGATTTGGAGGTTTTTAAACTTAATTTTAGGAATGATCCTGCAAGAAATAAAAGCTGCTTTTGCTCACCAACACAAATCTGTACAAAGGAACTTACAGATACTCAGAATGACTTTGTGGGGTATGGATAACTGAATAAATTAAAACTTTTCTTGACCCTGCTCGAGGAAATAAAATCAGGAGGAGGGCAAGAGAAGTTCGACTTCACTACGCTAAAAACCCTCACTACACTGAGTTTGTGTCCTTACGGCTACTTTTTCTGCTGGAAGGCTTCTAGGAAAACTTAGGTAGGTAACAGCTTCCCACTGCTCCACAAAGGGACAACCAACCAAGGGCAACCTGAATCTAATGGAAATTCTTTTGTGGATCTTCAAGTCTGATCCATCAACAGTAGTCACCTTTTCTCCATACTACACAGGGCTACTTTCTAAATATATGAGTTTGCAGAAATTCACATTTTCTGCAAACTCCTTTGGTGCAAAGTCCTGATATTTGCACAACACATGCTGTCTTCCATAACTCATTGTCTCCATACATGCTATCAGATTTCCAAAGGAGAGCACTTACCTTTCAATAATTGCTCTCCGCATAGCTTCTTGGCTATATGGGCACTTCCCCACTATAATTGCTGACAGATACACTGGATGCTGCAGGAAATGCATCAGAAGAGCTCCTTGACACCCTAACACATTCCAGCGAGCCAGTTTATCACTGCAGGACATAGAGCATGTTCTGTCCCCACGACCTGGCTTCACTCGTAATAATCCCACACAGTGATACCCTAGCCCAGGTATTCGGGCATCACCAAGCTCTCCAGGTACGCATTTTGCTCCAGTTCTATAAACATCTACTACCTTCGGTCTTCCTAAGCCAGTCTCCTTATTAGCTGTTTGCATCTCTGCAGAACATTCACAGCTCTTTGGATTTGCGTCGTCGTCTTGTTTCACAGATACTTGCTGAACGGCCAGGTCTTCAGTGATTACAGAAAAATAACCATCACCATCAGTTTTCATTCTCTTGATTACAGGATCACTTGCCATTTTCTCCGATTTCCTTTTATCTTTTGGACCCAAATGATCATGGTTACTTCTACACTCTGCTGATTGTCCAGCTGCATCATGTCCAATCACAGGCTTAGAAACCTGTATGTCTGGTTCACTAACTGGAATAATAGAAGCATCTCCACCTAGAACAAAAGAAGTAACATCAAAATTGTCCAAAAACACATCTCTCATGGCTGGAACACATCACACCAGTAGTATAATGGCTACTACTAGCTTTCACAAATTTGCACTTGGGAAAATTTAACTATGAGAACACACTTTTCAAACAACATCGCCCTGTACTTTGCTGAAATTTGAGCCAATGTATGTTTAATTTCATGTTTTGCATGCTACCTAAGAAATAATCAAAAAAGCAACATTAAAAACAAAAATTATAAATCAAAAGGTGTCAAAAGCATTTGACAGACTACAAACAGTGCTAAAGACTCCCAGGAAAACTAGTCTGATCTAAGTAAACAATACAAGCCTCAGAATAATAAAGAATAACCTATCAAATAAAGATGGAAATTTTAACCTGTATCACGAAAACAAGTTCAAAACCAAAATTCTGAAGCTCTGTTCAAAGCAAACAAAGCCTGACAAGCCTGTGAGAAAAAGGCAGTCAGGAAATTATTCTTGCTATTTAATTTGAAGATGTAGATTCTATTCTTATATTGCATTAATGAAGAAAACCATCATAGCATATTCCAGCAATGCCATCAAAACCATAGAAACGTACAAGCAACTAATTCACTCTGTGAAGTACTGATGAGGCATGTTTTGAGAGTGCTTGGACCTCTTTGCTCTGGTAACAGACTAGCAGCTGAAGAACACAGCGGTAAGAGCGTGGTAACATCGAGACGACCGGTAAGCTGGTAGACCAAGAGGCCGTGTTCCTACATTTTGCCAATAGATCCTCATCTTTGTGGTGCTATTATTTTAAAATAAAGAGCATTTTCCATGGCAAAACAATGCATTCCGTTCCATAAGAAGTTTTGGGTTGCAGGGCTGGTGGTGTTTTGTAGGTGGGGCTTTTTTGGTTGGTTCTTGGGAGTGTGGTTTTGGTTTGTTGTCTTTTTGTGAGGGTTGAGGGGTTTTCCCTGTGGGTTTTTCTTTTTTGTGGGTTTGTTTGTTTGGTGGTTGGGGATTTTGGTTCTTTTTTGTTTGTGGGGCTTAGGGGGGGCTGTTTGTTTTTTTATTTTAGGTACTGTAGTAAATATCAATGTTTTTTATTAAAATTTGAATCCAAGGAAACAATGTTTAGAGCAAAGCAATGAGGAAATATGACATCTGACTAGTATGTTCCTTTCTGGAAAAGAAAATAGTAACCATTATTGTTTAAAGAGAACGTGAAGCACTTCACTATATAATGGGTGGTATATTGGATTTACCGAGTTCTCGTGAATCACATCCAGTGAGATAAAATGCCAAACATACCTGTGGAGGACCAGTCAAGTACATCTTAGGGCACATACTGACAACATGAGTTACTGCCTCACTCTCACTCCAGACCAAACAGAGACCAAAGAAGGGCATGAGGCAGAAAAGATTCTACAAGCGGGAGCCATGAAATTGGTTCACTCCAGCATACTCACATGGGGTATGACTGGAGAAGAAAACAAATACGATATTTGGTTTGAGTTTCCATTTCCCAGTTTCAGTTCCTGGAATAAAGATACTGCATTGCTGATGGGAAGCTGCCAGCCACATCTGATGGAGAAGATACCTGTTAGGCAGAAAGTTTTCATGAAACATTTACTTTATTTTTGATGCATGGGAAAAGAACAAAAATTAGATGCCCACCAGTGACTGTTCTTTCCTGATGAAGTCTGAGGAGCCAATCAGTTACACTTTTACAGATAGATGGGATCAAACATACTCCATAAGCACAAACACGTCATTAGAACCTTAATAACAGACCTCAGAAGGTTGGATTCAGTGGAATTAACCACCTCCTCAAATCATGTATCTGAAGTCCCCTCCTCCCACTCTGCATTTTTACCAGCACTGCAACTCATACAATTCTGTGAGAGCCAGTTTAGTGGCAAACTGCAAGAAATGTACTCGTCCCTGTAGCATTACTATTCTCCTGGCTCAGTTCCTGCAACCAGCTTAAGAGGGCCGGTATGTGGGAAACACCAAAAAGGCTACCCTTGACAGCGAGTCATCAGACCAGCATTGACAGCACATGAAATCAGAACCTGCTTCTTCATACAGAGGCTTCACAAAAATGGGGAAGAAACAAGCTTTTGTCAAAGGGCCTTAACACCACCTAGAAGTATAAAAGTTAGGATAAACTCCGGCTAACAAAGGGGGGAAAAAACGTTGCCTACACAAAAGTAACACTGTCTCTTTCATTACATTCTCATCCCTGAAGTTGCAAAATCTGGCTAATTCTGGCTAAACCATTCATATCACAACCACCAACCTCAAGAGGCACTGAATAAGAGCACATCAACTTCATGCCTCACCTCTGGAAGCTCCTCTTGGCCACAATTTCAGCATGACTGTCATTCAGAATGTCTCCTAAAGCAACAACCAAATGAGAACAATATGCACCATTACTGCAAAGGAGACAAACAAAGCCAACAGAATGTGACAGATGATAGTTCTCAGATTTGTCAACATTTTAAGGTTTAGCACTGGTATTAGGTTACTGCAAGATATTTAAACCTCCAATCACTACAAAAGGAGGTCAATAGTCTACGCAAATGGATGGTAAGTCTTCACTCTGCAGCAAGTCAAAGACTTGTTTAAATACCAAATTTAAACTCTTCTGATATCTGAAATCCTTTGAGTTTAATACACACTGGCTTCCTTCAAAACCTTCCTCATGTTTGTCTTAATAGTAAATCTCGATATTCTCAGATTAAGCATAACATCCAGAAAATTTCAAGTGTTAAGGTTTTGGCTGAAGTTTCTTGTTGCACTATGTCCTACAATTTAAATTACTTTTCTTGTAAATAATTATGGTATTTACCAGGTTTACACATTTCACCTTCAAACCTCCTGCAGTATCTGCCTATTGCAGTATCTAAAGGAACAGGATCTGTAGATCAGTTTTTGTTTCAGGAATAAAAGTCCAGGTGATAAAAGTCCTCTTTAACAGTTCTAAAAATTTAAAGTTCTCTAACAGATAACCATGAACATTACCTACCACCCAAGTTAATTTAAAAACAAATTAATGTTATCGTAAGAGGAAAATACTTTGTAAACTTAAGATCACTGAAGACAAACAACAGAGAGGAACTAGCTTTACTTTTTTCTAGTCAAATTTCTACTTTGACTCTTAGTACCTAGATTGTAAGTTGTACAACAGTTTAATCACAATTTTCCTAAATCAGTCAGAAAAATGCCTGTACTAATAGTCTTCTAAGATGGCTAAATCACAAGAAACATCCATAAAAATCTAAGGTACAGAATTTAATTTCTTCTCTTTTGCCCCACTAACTCATTTCAATATGAAGGATGTTATACAGAACACAAAAGAGTCTAAAACTGATGCCTGCAAACCCGTTTCTCCTATCTTGCTCGACTCCTCCTCTGAAGTCTAAAGAAGGTAGAAAGCCTTATACCTATATAGTCACTAACACTTGTCCTCCTTACTCACTTTTCAGCATTAATTACTATGGCTTCTCCCCTCTCCTAGGAGGGGACAGATACATTCTGAATAAAAAATATTAACACGCAGAGCAAGGAAAGTCCTACAATAAATCCTAAGAAATGGCTGCTGTGGGAAGTCATGTACCTATCCCCTACATTTATTGTACAAACAATTAAAACTATCTAGCTGCAGATTCTATGGTAAGGGAGAAAAAGCCTGTTAGTACCTTTCTGGTGTCACCGCTACCCTAACTCAGCAGCAGTAACCTCTGCATCAGACCACAACAAAACAGACTGTAACAGGTGACTGAAGCACAATTATCCTGCTTATGTTTTGTTTTGCTTTTAGTTATGAAGTAATTGGGTATGCAGACTCAGAGCCTAAACTACACATTGCCACATATAAAAGTTTATTTACCTTTAAGGTACCAAGTGCAGCAAGCTTTCAGGGGACCATTCTGGCTGCCTAAGCCCCTCTCTTAGTGAGAGGTGTGGTGAGGTCTGCCTTACACTTCTGGCTTCAATCCAGAAGTCTGAGCTCAATGCCTTGGATATTTTCATTGATTCTATGACACCAGCAAGAAAGAAGGCAGCACAGGTAGCCTGTTCTTGGATTTTACACCATACTTACCAGTTTTTCTCATTTTGTTTTGGCCAATACATTTTGTTCCAGTTCCCATAGCAACAACTTCCTTTGTTACTGAAAAAATAAAGAACATTAATTGAACGAACTATCGTCAGAAGCGTTGCTTGCATATAGTCATTCCAGTAAGACAACACACAGAACACTGTGTAGAAGAGAAGGTACAGGGAGGCAGGCCACGTGATGTTCGAGAAACAAAACGGTATCAGCTAGAGAACTAAACACAACAGGCAGAAACAAGAGTGCTAGGAAAAGTCTCTGATCCCACAGCAAGAGTGCTAACACAGGCTTGATATGCTAGGCAACACACAGTGGGCACTGGCATAGGATTCCTCAAACATGTAAGAAAGAAGCGTGGGACACAATCTGCATGACAACATGGAAGTGCCAGTAAGGGAAAAGAAGATGATGGCGAAATAACACAAACACAGTCTGTTAAAGGAGAGCGAACTGAGACCTTTCTAGTATTCTTTCAAATAGTAGCCAAACACACTTTTGCAAGGGTTTACATTAGGAATTCAGGTCCTGCCTAGCCTTTCGCCACTTATTGAACAGCCAAATGCAGACTTTCACCTTCTTAGTTACAGTGTGGGAAGCAGAGCATTTCACTGTGACCTTCTGTTTCCAGACAGAAGCTGTAAAACCTCCTACAATCACAAAGAATAAGGCGTTTGGGTGGAGACAGAAATGGGACAGGAAGGTGTGTATGTTTTTGTTTTTTTTTTAAAAAAGCATCTTGAAAAAAAAAGCGGGGGGGGAAGCATCAAGGACTGCTACCTCTTCTTCCCCTTCCCCCCTCCCATCCCAATCCCCACAACTCATTCTTACCCTGCAGATTCCCTGGACTAGCAAGAACCTCTCTTTGGGTTGCAGACTCCACTTTGACAACAGCTGCAAGTGAAGTCCATTCCCTGTTTGGATCTGGTTTCCCCTGCTTAGGGAGTCTGGTCCTATAATGCAGGTAACATAGCTCAGCAATTTCATCAGCTGACCACATGGCTTCTGATGCAAGTGCAGGTTCTAAACAGAACAGGATTCCATCACAACACTGCTTAACAATGCCCCATCTCTTCAAACCCTACCGCCTTCTTCTGCATGACACCCTCCTGCACCAGCTTCCAATATCCAAGGCTTAATTGCCTCACCTGTCAGTATTATTTATAAGAAATATATCATATGAAATAAAAAGCTTCCCCCCCCGCCCCAAATTGCTAGAAATAAAAAGCAATGCTAGAACCCTTACAGTCCAGCAGCAGGTGAGATTGCTGGGTTCCCCAGGTTCCCACCATGCAGCAGTCAGCAGCGTGCACCACACCACCGTCCCCGGGAGGTTCCTGCATCACATCTGTGGCGCCTGGCACGACCGCACTCACTCCGAGGCCTCCGGGCCTCCATCCCGCCCAG